AGTATAAAAGCTCTCATAAAGTATTTTTCTGAGGTCTGTCTTATCAGGTAAATTACTGTACATAGTGTATTCATTAATTTTCATTTTCATGTAGTGGCTCTATGTCTTCATAAAGGACGTACTTTTCCTTTGTTTAAGGGTATTTGGGTGTATGCCACATTCCAATGCACATGCCATTTTGCTCTGATACAAGAAAGGTAAAATAATATTGTTACAATTAAGTATTAAGATAAAATACATTTATTTACTTCCTAATTTCATAATAATATAAAATTTTGAATTACTAAAACTTTGCAATTAATCTAATTTCAAATTAATTTTAGTAATTATATTTTTAACACATTTATTTTTAATTAGATTATTCTGTGTAAAAAATTATTTTAAGAGGAGAAAATTATTGATAGTATTCCATAGATAACTTCTATAGAATGGTTTATTGTTGTATAGCAATTATTCAATTATTGCTGTTAATTTCTGGTATAGAGTATAATCCAGGGCCTTTACTCCAAACAGGAAATTGCATTCTCATAGTATCAAGACATCTCAATTGAAAGTAGATCGTGTGTGTACAAGTGCAATATCTAGTGGCCCTCAATTTTAAAACTTATCAGAGATACCAAAGAACCACAAAATATTTTCTACTTGTTCAGGATTTCTTAAGACAGTTGAGTTTAAATTGGGATTTGTTTAAAAAAACCTGCTTCCTAAATAAAGAAAGTTCTCAAGGCTCAATATCTGGACTCCTACTCTGGAATGTTGTCTAAATGACTTGCTAATTAAATTATCAGACTGTTTGTTTGTTGGTTATAAAATCAGCTATATTGTTAAAAAATAATTATTGACAATTTGCCAAATTTTCTTAAAGCTCAGACATTTTTGGTTTTCACCTAGAAACTAGAATACACAATGCAAAAACCAGACAGGTGGCAACACATAGAATGGACAAAGCATTGTATTGGTGAGGATAAGTAAGTCAGATTATGATAGGAATAGAAATAGAAATATATGGTCATATCTCGAAAACATTAATCAGAGTAACAAAGGACTTGTGCTAAATTAATGTAAGGAGTTTATTTACTTCAATTACTTACTAAATTAATGTAAGGAGTTTATTTACTTCAAAAATATAACAAATTCAATTCAATTTGTTAAAAATAAATTATTCTAGTTTATGATGTACATGATAAATAATTTAATGAAATGTAGTATATCTGTTTCATTCTAGTATTTATATTATGAAATAATTATTCCAAATAATGCAATTATTAACAACATAAAAACGTCTATTGTAAAAAAATTTATTTGCAGATATTAATAGAAACAGCAAAAGAAATGGATATTCCCCATCATACTGAAGGAACTATTTTAACTATTGAGGGACCACGTTTTTCTACTAGAGCTGAGAGTAACATGTTTAGAAGCTGGAATGCTGATTTGATAAACATGACTACTGTTCCAGAAGTAAATAAACAATTTAATTATATTTTTAATTTATTATTATTACTGTCTTAGTTTTTGAAGCTAAAATTCTCAAATTAATTTGTTACCTAAATATAAAATTTGTATCCAAATAATACATATCATCAATTATTGCTGAAAGGAATTTAATTACTTTTATCTTTGTACAGTTTATATAAGATATAAAATGTTATTAAATGAAAGACATCACAGCTGTTCGAAAATCAAAATTGTAATTTGATTTACTTTGGTAACGAGTAGTAGGTATTCCTGTAAATTATTCAAATTTTGGTAGAAATATTGCAAATTTTTATTTCAAAAAGTATATAATTAAAACAGATAAATGTTAATAATAGTTCTTAAATAATATATTCATGAATTGGAAAATATAAAAAATTGATGATTTTATATTCTTAGGGCAGTGTTGCAAATTTATGTAGATATAACTTCTTACATGTATTATGGCTGTAAGACCCTGTTTAATAACACTTATTACACCAAAACAAGGAGACTTTAGATTAAATGGAAATTAAACTTTTGTTTTCTTTCCTGTGTGCATTTTAAAATTAGTCCCTCATCAGCCATTACATAGATGTCCAACCTTTTTTGTAATTCATCCTATGAATAATAATTTTCATTATAATTTATGATAAAAAATGTTTTTTACTACAATAAAAACAAAACTGAACTTACATTTCCTGTATGAACTTTTACAGAGTATGTAAGTTTGGTTTGTTTTGTTTTCTTAAAACTCTTCCATTTCTGCATTGGATAAAATTTCCAGCTTTTGTAGTAGAATTTAATGTAAAATTCTTTGGAACATTGCAAAGTTTTACTGTAGTATCATGTCATTAATCATTACTAATAAACTGAGTTGCATCATAATTAGTCAATGCACTACTCAAAAGAATTAGGTGATATTGTAATACAGTAGAGTCTCGAAAACTTGGCACTCGATAACCCGGCACTCCGGATAACTCGGCCACACCTTGGCAGGGCAAAAAAATCATTAGTTAATTAATTTTCAGTTCAGTTTCCTATTAATTAATTAACTAATCCTTAGTTAATTAATTATAGACAGCTTTATAAAAGTATAAAAGCTCTCATAAAGTATTTTTCTGAGGTCTGTCTTATCAGGTAAATTACTGTACATAGTGTATTCATTAATTTTCATTTTCATGTAGTAAAGGCTCTATGCCTTCATAAAGGACGTACTTTTCCTTTGTTTAAGGGTATTTGGGCAGTTTATTCTCTGTTATATTCT